TAGGTTGTAACTTGAATCTGACACCATGCTATAAATAATTTCCTTTAAAATTTACAATGCATCTGCAGATTTCAGGTATAACAACTTACAGTTGTAATCTACTCGATGACAATCATAATTCATATGTAAATGAGATATGAGATGAAGAAATGTAATAAAAACAACTCACATCGTTATCATACTAATATACATCAACGCTCTCTTAATAAAAAACATAGAACACTTCGTTATCTCCTTTTTAAAATTGTTATTAACTTACAAAAATAATTTATTATTTAAAAAGTTATTTATTCAAGAAAAATTAATTTTGTTATTTTGATTCACCTCCACTCATACAAGTTTCTTAAATGTCATTTTTTCTTTTAATTGTTAAATTTGTACAACACACTAGTATTCACTATAAATAAGACACGTACGTATTGTAATAAAAAATGGAGAGGTTATTATATTTAAAATAACACACAAACGTTGTAACTTTAAAAAACACTAAATGAATTTATTATTTAAGAAAAACGACTTGGAACAACCTCTTTATAATTTGTTAATTAAACTTGATTTATGAATATTAAAAAGCAATTCTAAATAATCCACTATATTTTTATACGAGTGAAAAATTACTATCAGAAAAAAACAATAACGAAGAAATTTATAGATTTTTAACGCACAAAAATCCGATCAAAATCGAACGGTATCTTACAAGACAACGCGCGAACTTGATTATCGATTTCTCAATATATTGTACATTTATTTTTGCTAATTTCATTGAAATGAAAATTCAACATATTGAGAACATTTAAAAATGTAATTATAAGCAACTGAATTTATAAAACAATTAGAACGAAAAAGGTTTAAGTAAAAAATGGAAACTAGAAATTAATTTAATTATTTTAATACTTGCACAGTAGATGCAGCGAAAGCCACAAATGCGATGAAACAAAATCAAACATGATCCAATGCTGTGCTTTTACTTTAAAATTAAATGTTTATTTATAATTAGCATTGTAATTCCTCAATTTTTTACGTCAGTGTATATTATGTTGTTATAAAATATTATGATCATACAAATAGATTTAAATTTTGTTCTCTCTTGAGATTACATCTGGCATGGCGAACATTTTGTTCCCTTGAGAATCACTAGATGACTTCTGTATAAATGTATGTGACATTTAATTTAATTAAAGAATTGTTATACTCTCACTCTATAATATGTACACAGTATCTCATTTTAATATCATGACATATTTTCGTTCAGAAATAGTCACCTTAAACTTACATAACACAACATGATATTATAGCATAATGAGTGAAATGGACATACTACTTTCTCACATACGCCACGATGAATGTAGTACATGAGTAAATACTAGACGTACTTGTGTTAAGGAGTAGTGAAAGTGTAAGTGTTGCTGGTTTCTTTTTATTTCAATTTTAAACTCTTCAGGCTGTTTACAATTTCATTTCGCTGAACTTTTAACCTTGCTATATTACAGTAACGCATTCTATTCGAAATAACTTTCAGTATTTCGAGAAAGTAATTCCGGCTTTTTTTCTTTTGTAACATCAGACTTTTTTGTAATTTTGTGTTATTACATATGCGTGTTTAATGCATATGTAGTTAAGTTTTGTGTTACATAGTACGTAGCCGTATGCTTGAAAGGTTAAACGGTGCGTGAAAACGATCAATTGCAACCTTTCTCAATTTTAGATGTTTACGTGGTACTTTGAGGAGAGTATATTGTGATAACGAAATTATTAGAATATTGTAATTTGCTACAATTTTAATTGTTATTATTAATAAAATACAATAAATTGTGGTACTGTAATAATTATAATTGTAACAAATTGCAATGTTGTAATAATTACAATTATGACAAATTGCAATACTGTAATGGTTACAATTGTGATAAACTAACATATTGTAATAATTACAATTGTAATAAATTGCAATATTGTAATAAATAAAATTGTAACAAAATACAATACTGTAATAATTACAATTGTAACAAATTACAATACTGTAATAATTACAATTGTGACAAATTACAATACTGCAATAATTACAATTGTGACCAATTACAATATTGTAGTACTTACAATTGTAACAAATTGACGAAATTAAAAAAAATATTTTAAAATAGTACAATCCTTCATGATTAAAACAAAAAAGAATTTAGCTAAATCGGTTGTGTAGTTTCTGAGAAAAAAATTCGTAAGTGAAGTCTATTTTCGCAAAAATGGGCAAAAATTGCAAACTTTGAAGGCTTATTATTCCTTAACAAATTTAAAACCGGTGAAATGATGACTTAAACCCTTCCTAATTTCACATGAACTGCAACATATTTTGATTAGAGCAAAAGATGGTGACGTCCAGAAGTAATCGATTTTACATAGAATGTCCTGACTGACTTTTCGATTCTTTTGTCCTTTGCCGTTTCTCCCGCATTCTTTCGCACACACGCACTCACCTACGCTAGTTCGTACTCTCTCTCATACGTTCATGCATGCTCTCTTACATTCTCCAATTTGCACATTCACACATACTCGACACTCACACATAATCCCTCATATCATATATAATTATTAACAAACAAGAAATTAACAACTATTATATATTTTTTAATTCAGTAACGTAGAATATAGAGGGTTTATCGAAGTTTTTGGCATCGCAAGAAATGACCGTACAGTAGGTATCGAATCTCCGATGCTGGCAATGATGTAATCAATGGAGAATCGATAGACCTTAAAGACACTTATGTAATATAAAGGACAAGCAACTTTCTTTTTCAGACAGAAAATTATACGAATATAAACACTTCTACCGTTCAGAAACCGTTTCGTTATTACGTATTCTTCATCCTCCGTTCATCGAGGATTAATTAAAAATAAATACAATCTTTAACCATAAGATATTTCATAATTCAAGAAACCATTATTTTAGTCTTTTACATAACATTACGTAATTTGTTGGAAAATTATGTTAACCACATGTATGTTACAGTTACATGGAAATATGTTTATAAGGAAGAAATATTTTTACATTATAAAAATATATATGTTTATACTCGTTCTGTTATTCTTAAAAAGCACATATAATTAAAAACTACGTTCTTCTCTTTGAAACAAATATAATTCCTTCACTCCACAAAAACTACGATTTGATCCACAATTTCGTTCAAAACACGGTATGCATACCAACGTCCATAGCATTATACTTGCATAAACGATCTATCTCAAATTTCAATAAAATAGTCGTTCCAATTTCATTAATGCATGCAATAAACGTAGGAATCCGACAAGCATCGAAATTCTGAAACCTGCTACGTTTCATGACTGCAATCATTTATTCGCGAAAGGAAACGATAAGGTTTCAAAAAACGTAAACCATTGAAATAAAAGAACTGCTGCTCTGGTTTTCCAGTCATTCCTACTACGTCAACTTAGTGTTAACTCAAGTATTAAATACGCTCATCAAAGATAAACATATTAGTAATTATATGGTGGATTTTGTGGGATAATGATATCTCTCTAAGGTAGTAAATAACATATTTATAACTAAATTACTATACTTTAATTATGTCGTAAATATTAGTGAAAATGCCATATAGTGGGGAGGAATAGTTAAAAGATAGCTGCATATCATTGTATTAGGATTTAGTATGTTGCACGTGTTTTATTTATATATGTATTTAGAAGAAAATTAGCAAATTTCAAATTTTAAAACTTGTAGATTTAAAATTTGAAAATTTCAGGATGGGTTGTGTAATAATCTGGCAATTTGAGGATTAATTATTTCAAATTCTTGAATGCAATAGTTTGAGAATATTGACATTTTTAAATTTAGAGGTTTGGAAGTATTTGCTAGTATGGAAATTTGGAAATTTGGAAACTTTGCAATTTCGATATTAGGGAATTTGGAAATTTTAGAATATGGTGATTTGGTATTTCGGGAATTCAGAATTTGGGGAATTTGGAAATCTGAGGAATTTGGAATGTAGAAATTTGGGAATTTTGGGAGTTTTGGAATTTGGAAATTTGGAAATTTGGAACCTTTGAAATTTTGATATTAGGGAATTACGAAATTTTGGAATTCGGTGATTTGGTATTTCGGGAATTTGGAATTTGGGGCATTTCGTATTTGAGGAATTTCAAAAGGGGCATTTGGTATTTAGGAAATTTGGAAATTCGAGGAATTTGGAATTTAAAAATTTGGAAATTTGAGGAATTTGGAATTTCGAAATTTAGGAATCTTTGAATTTGGAAATTTGGAAATTTACAGTTCTCCAGAAAATTGGAAATCTAGTAATTTAGAAATTTGGAAACTTGCACATTTTTCGTACCTAAGTCAAGAATGTAGAAATTTGTAATAAATCTAGAAATTTAAAAGTATTAAATACATCAATTCAACAATAACTGAAGTGAATGTCAATATTAAAATTAAGCAAACAAAGTTTAAATATTTACAGAGATAAAAATTCTTGACTAAAATATTTTCAAATCTAAAAATTTGGAATTTTAGATATCTAGAAATAGACCTATTAAATTTGGTAACTATAAAATTCCGCATACCGAAATTAAGTATGCATAAATCTCATACTAACGCTATCTCTAATGGTGATTCTAATTTTTAATTGACAAATTTCATGCAAACGACGAGTTTCCAGATACTGGTACAATATTACTTACACCTCGAACTCAAATTTCGCAAGAAACTGCACGAGCCGTTATTCGGCAACTTAAAATTTATATATTCTCAGTGCTCCACCTTTACTTTCAGCTAAAAGCTACTACGTTTCAGCTAATTCGATACATTCGATAAAAATAAATTCCAACTTCTACACGCAGTAAGTCCACACCTGAAGTAAACACAACCAAACACAACCACAAAGTTCATTTTTTCTCTGCATTCCACTTTATCTCCGTTTTATCTAACGTAATCAAATCATATAATTACAGTGCAAATAATGCAATGTAAGTCACGTGTATTTATTTATCTGTTTCAGAAAACGACAGCAAATCTGGACATTTCGATTCAGCGCACGGAGTTCAAACAAAAATTTTAGAAGGACGTCGTGCATGAAATAAAAAAGCGACATTGTGTTCGCACGTAGAAGACAGAATACTTCAGTTGTATTAAGAGCCAGGAGGCGAAGAGGAAAAGCTACGGGAAGTAAAAGGAAAATTAATCCAATTAGTTTGCAAACGGATAATGACTTTTGAAAGTGTTTCAAAAACTGACCACGTGCATTCTCGAAAACCATGCTGGGAGAAGTGACGTGATACAAAATTTCTTAAATGTAACACATCGTAAATTAGCTGTAACAAAATTTGTAGTGCAGTGGCAAAGAGGAAGAAACGTCCGATTAATTATACAATTAACGTTTTCAATCTAGTCTGCAAGATAGTTCGCAAAAGACAGTAATACGAAAACACGGTTGCGAGAGGATTGAAGAAATTTCAGATAATATCAGGATATTTAAATTGAGAAGAGAAAGCGCTCAAGATGAAGTTCATAGGGTCGTTGTTTGGGATCAGGTCGCCCAAGAAGATGGGCAAGGAATATATGAAAGTAGGAAGAAACGCATTATTCGGAGTGAAAACGAGCCAACACGATGGCCTCTGCACGGACAAAGTCCCTAGACCTTTGTCGTTTCTAATTTCGGAGAATGGGAAGCTTAAACATGGTGAGTTTTCACTTTATTTTGGCATATGTGGTCTTTTGTTATCTAAGGGGTATAGAGAGGGATGCAGGGATTTAGAGAAAAAGGAATGTGGGAATGTAAGGATGTAGGTATTTAGGAATACAGGTAATTAGGAATGTAGGTATATTAGGTATAGGAAGGCTAGAATACAAGTAATTAGGAATATAGGTACTCTAAATATAGCTAGGCTAGAATACAGTAATTAGGGATATAGGTATACTAGGTATAGCTAGGCTAGAATATAAGTATAGAGGAATATACATAGGTATCTAGAATATAGGTATACAAGAATATATGTAAGTATATATAGAATACATATGTAGGTATACATGGAGTATACATAGAATACACATGTGGCTATACATGAAGTATACATAGAATATAATGTAGGTCCCTGGTCATCGAATTACCACTATAAATTTTCAGAATTTTCTACCTTTTCCATAAAATTAAAAGACCTGTTCAATTTGTAATAATTTATTCGCTACTAACATAACTACTACCGTACATAACATTATTAACACACGTTAATATCTTGTATTTCCACCCTTTGCTTTGGTCACAGCTTGTATCCGGCATGCTCCGTATACATTGATCATATGCTTTATATCTTCATTATTTCCCCAAATATCTGTAATTCTTTTCAACTCGGATAATGTGGTTGGAGAGTTGTAAACTAATCTTTTGGTAGGCAGACATTTTCTATGGCATTCAAATTTCACCTAACCGCGCTATCGATACTCGACCTAACGTAAACGCTCGGCACGGTGAATCGCTCATCACCCACACAATTTATTATCACGATAGTAACAAATTGCTATGTATATATTGTTATCAAGGTATTTAGTAATAATTTGCGTGACTTGAGACAATTTTCCATATGTAACATAATATGGTCATAAAAGTGAAATTTTCGTACGTGGTGATTCGATGGCAAGAGACTATAATATCGAATCAATTCTTACCATTTTATTCGACTGTTTTTCTTTTATTTAACCTACTTGTAGTATCGAATCTATCCTTACTATTTTATTTGACATATTCTCGAAAGTGAAAGATAATTATATGCTCAAACGAAGCAAATGATGCTCTTATCGACGTTTCAAATGAATGAATTCCATAACTTTTTGCAAGTATGCAACTTTGTATCGTTCAATCCTGGAGTCACTATAATTACGATCACGTTTAAATAAGAACCGATCATTGAGCATTTTGCGATCGAGTTGAAATCAACATTCCTGTGTAATAAATTTTCTTTTGGTATCAGAATATCTGATACATGTGTATTTCTGCAATCTGATGTTGTTGAAATATTATTAAGTTCTTGAAATTATCCATTAAGATTTTATATATCACTTTCTTCATACATTTATCATAAAAATTTTGTAATTAGTATATCTTGAACATAAATAAATAAAACTCGTACATTAAATATCTAAAATTTTCACGAAATAAATTAAATATCTAAAACCTTAAACTGTAAATATGAATTGTGGATATTGATTCAAAAATTCGTTTTAATAAAATATTATTGCTATATATGATTTATTTGTCAGATGCGTCAGTCAGATCTGACTAATGTAGCTACAATATTAAAACAAACAAAAAAGTAGAAATGTTATATCAATTTCCTATTTTGCAGTCGTTAACAATGCAAATTATAATTGGACTTGAACTCAAAGTTGAAGCATGTCAAACATTCGAATAAAATTAATCATAGCTAAAGTACAAGTGCGTCACAAGTCAGACTCGTCAGAAAAGTGCAAGAGGTCAATTTGCATATCTGCGTATTTTAAGAATATTGAATAGTGTATCCGGTTCTCTTATATCGTATATTTTACATATTGCTCATATTAATTTTTCGACATACTATAAATGCATAAACTATAGTGTGCTCAATAATAATCTCACCAACCTCGAACAAAACTTTTTCCAATTTTCCAGATAATGTAAAAAATTAACCGATAAAATCAATTTGATAAGCGTGTTAAAAATGATCAGTTAATATATTACCGTGAAAGACCGAAATTGGAGAATGTCGACTTTCACCGGTGAATGTCAACATAGACCAAATACGTCGGTGAAAAACCGAATATTTTATTACATTCTTGTACATTCGGACCCTCACCGGTGTGTCGACAATCACATGTATGCTCTGATGGAGGTTCAAAAGAGAGGAGCCGACAAAGAGGCGATTGGCTCTCTCCCGCCAAATCCTATGTTCTCCTGAGAGTTAGTCAGCTTTGTCAATCTTATGCAAGCTTTGATAATGCGAGCAACGTTTTCTTAATTTTTTTTCCAATACCATAATTTATACTGAATGGATACTGCAGTAAATCGTGATCTTTTTCTTGAAAAGTTAAATGCATTA